CCATATTAAACGCAGACTACTTTAGGCCTGGAAGTAGGGTTTGTCATGTCATTACTTAACGACTGGATTAGCTTAGCACAACAACAACAACAACAACAAAAAGGCGCTCTCTCACCCAGGAAACACAGAGAGAGAGAGCGTCACCCTTTAACCATGGAAACCGTAACGCTGCTGCCTGGAACAACAGAAAATAGCTGTCAAACAGAACCCAAACAGTCCTGACCCGCGACAATAGGAAACAGGAAAATACAGCTGTGTAATCCATTTATTTCAACAATGTAACTGTATTCTAAATACCACCTTTTTAAATGACAACTGTAACAGAATACAGTTACTCATATTTTGTATTTTAAATACGTAACGGCGGTACATGTATTCCGTTACTCCCCAACACTGCATTTGGGCATTCTACAGTACTTAAGGGCCATCATAGTGTCCTGACACAATCATGGTGCATCATACATAATGCTGCTGTTTTTGCTATCTTTTACTGACCTTGTAAAGGTTTAGTTCAGTTTCGTTTTATTACATTCATTTGTCATGGTCTATGCACAGAAAGTCTTACTCTCATTATCCTCATTTTACAATCTTAAGTGTAGCTATTAGCTAATTTCAGGCATACATACAAAATACATTTCCACAGCATATGAAAGGATTTTTAATACGATTTTTGTTATTGTGCTTGGCTAATTTTGTGGCAAATCAACCTGATAAATAATACATTCGTAAAGTGCAATTGCCAAATAGTGCCTTTTCCAACAGCAGGGGACAGAAGCAGCATGCACCTGGTGATAGGCCGCCTCCCGCCAGATGGACTGTGAAATTTTCTTGTGATCAATTTAAACCTCAGCAAGAGGCTGCAACTACCAATTTCTCCTAGTCGTAAGGAGGTTGTTGTTAGTCTGAATTTCTTTAAACCTACATTCTCCATCCTATAATTTTCCAGTCCTATAGAAGTCACAGGGGAAAATGTCTTTATGTCTTGACCTCTGTTAACCCACTTGCCTGCCATGTTTATGTCCTCAGTCACTCATTTGGATCATATTGAATGAATGGAAGAATTTTTAGATCTTTGTCAATGAGGAAGCAGTTTCGGACTCAGACCCGCTCCTCATGTTGCATCTAGGGTTTTTATAAACCTAACAAAAATCTTTTAAATGCTAATCTTGAGGCTTTGAAATAAAATGTAAGAAACAACAGGTGACATGACAGTAGCTACATCCATTTTATATACAGCAGAGGTAGAGTGGAGAGTCGTATACAAACAGGTGTAGTAGCTAACATGACTCGCTAATTTGCTGCCATAGAGACCTGACGTTTTATGGTAAGTGTTAAGTAGTGCAGATAATGCACCAGAGTGAAAGTCTCCAACTTAGTCAGCAATATGTTGCTAGTTTTTCCCAGACACTACCACACTATACAGGCTATATGCCCTGTTTGGTAGAATGTTACCCGTTTTACAGGCTAGAGGTTAAAAGTATGAACTGCACAAAAGTGGGCTCACTTTATAATGTTGTCAGACGCACTTGGAAAAGTAGCCTCATCCTTCTAAATACATTAGATCTTTAGACTAATGCACACGCATCACCCTCTTAACTATTTAAAAGCCCTTTTTTCTGTGAGTTTAACCAGACCAACATGTCTGGAAGAGGCTTCTTTGATCTTTATTTTTAGTCACATGGCCAAAAGCGTAACCGCACCACTCGGCTACATCCCGGGGGGGAGCCAGATCTCACCACTCCACCACAGACGGTTTGGATCAGACTCATCTCTGGGGGGGAATGAAAAGGCTTAGTCCAATTAATGGTTGAGATGCCCCCTTCAAGAGCAGCTGCACTACATGTAGCCACCACCACACCCAAAATGAGCCACATGCCAAAGTGTGGTGTCTCAGCGTGCTAAATATATCTGCAAATTGTGCTGTTCGTATTAATATACTCTTTTCTCTGATGTTGTGTTATGCAACAAGTAGCCTGTAGCTGTAGAGAGCATTGTCAGCATTTGGCATCATTATGTGTCAGTGAATCGTCGTCTGTTCAGGTTATACCAGGGCAACATACGGGGGTGGACACAGTAAAAGCTACAGCACAGCAATAACAGCTACCCTTTCCTCCACAGTGTTTTGTTTCTGTTACACTAATTTATTTTTGTTTCACTTTTTAGAATGTAAGGCATTTATTTGAGTTCCATGAAGTGCTACCCTCCCTCTCCCCAACAATGTTTAATTTAAAATTTATGCCAGATGTCTTGTGAGGTCTTTTTTTTTAACTGAAGTTTCTTGAACATTTGAAAATGGAGTAGGGTGGGGGGTGTATTTCTTAAAAAAAATGGAACCTAACTATTTAAAACAATGACAAACCACCAAAGTTCTCTACTTTTCCATGAAATTACAACAAAACAAAGACCAAAAAAGCCACATTTGTTTTAGGAGTTTTACAGTTTGACAGTTTAAATATTCACTGGAGTTTATAAGCATCATCTCAGTGGTCTGACTGTTCTTGAACAAGGAAATATAAGTCTAAAATTTATGTAAAGCATTCTTGGTTCTAGGTTTCGACCATAATGTTTCCCTCACAATGTGGACATATTGTACACATAGTTAACCATGCAAAGCCATTTCCATGTCATCTTTAACCTGCTTATTAATTATTGTATCTGAACCTCAGTGATGTATTTTTTTTACGCAACACACAAAAACTTTCTTTTATGTTGTTACTTATGTTATATGAAGACTAATTTTGTTAGTGAATGTACTGTAAGCATTCAAAAGATAGATGATGGCAAAAACAAATCATTTTTTCCACATTTTTATTGCCAGTCATTTACCTCTTATACAACATAGTGATGTCTGTAATGGGAAAACATTTAATCATTATTTATAACATTAAACACATAACATGTATCACAACAACATGTAAGTCTGCTTTTAATGATGATTTTTATGTAAATTAAGTAAAAAATCAACAATGTAAAATAATGTATGACTTCTTTTCTGGCCCTGAACTCCAAGTTCACTTAATATGTAAATGTTTAACAACAATTCAAGAAAAAAAAAGTTATTCTAATACCAGCTGTATGTAATTTAATCACACAGAACAACAGCTATGCCGAAACAGAGAAGAAAAAAAATTAAGTAATTTTTACTTCCCCGCTAAATAGATAAAGTCTCAAATCATCTATCTTATTATATGTCACAGTTCTAATTATTTGTGATGTTGGCTCTAGATAAATAAAAAAGGAAGTGAAATTGATGATCAGAGTTTACTTCTTAAAAAACCATGCACCATGCAGTTTAAACATTGCCTGTATGTGTCCTTCCACAGTTAAAAGTTCAGTTAACTGATGACTGTAAATTGGCCGTAAGTCTACATGGTTGTCTGTCTCCCTGTTAGCGCTATGATATTCTGCCAGCTTGTCAACTGTGATAGCTTGTAGGGCCCCAGTGACCCGAGTCAGGAAAGCAAATATGAATGTGGACAGATGGAAGATTTGGCTGATGGAAAATAAAATGCAGTGGACGAAATGTAAAAATACCTCTCACCACTGACTTCTTTTGTGGCCCTCAAGTCCAAAACTCTTGCCTTCCATTTGTAAATTAAATTGTAATAAATTTGTAATTTATTCATTTTGAAAATTTTAAAACAATAATGATAATAGTCTGAAAATGTCAATTATCTTAAATGCTATTAATTTACATTTTAAATTACATTTTGACTAAGATGTGACACAGAAAATATGCAGGATTTAGCCAAAATAAACAAGAATGTGTTTTTTCATGTTAACCAGTCCAAAACTCTTTTTTTTTTTTTTTATCAGTTCTGGCAAAAACAAAACTCTTTGGAACAGATGAATATGGTAAGTTAAAATCATCAGGATTTGGCTTCAAAGACAATACTTAGGGTAATTAATTGCTCATTTTCTCCAATATTAGAAGCATTTTGTGTCAGAGTGATGCTGAAAAACTATTCCATGGATTTGTTACTTCCAGGCTGGATTATTGCTATTTTTCTTTACCCTACAAAATAAAGGACATAGAGGCTACTGTCATTGTAATTTGGTGCCATATAAATAAAACTGAATTGAAATGAACTTGTGTGGGTGTTTTTTATGATGACAGAGCCAAAAATCTGGAATATTGTCTATTAATAAACTTAAGAACCCCAGTCCAAACCTTTAGTTAACACTGTAAGTCATGTTGATCTTATTTCTCACAAATATAATTTTGTGCTGCGAAACAGCCATCGTCATTCCATGATCCTTTATCAGTTGAAACATATTCTCCACAGTCCTGGCTTTTGAAGTCATTAGGCTGCCCAGGCTGCCAGTATCTGATGAATAAGGTAAGAGAGAGAAATCATTTTCTCCACTTTGTCGCTATAAGAAACAAATTCACTCCTACATTGTAATTGTTTGGTGCCTCAGTCTGTCTTTTTAATTTAACTCTCATTTGCAAAAGTAGAAATAATACTGTGCACTTCTGCATTCATCCTTTCCTTACATTTCCTGTTGCTGAATTGTTGGATAGATATTAAAGTTTTTGGCAGAGTTCAGTTCAACAACAGAATACAAGACTGATCTTTGTACAGTCAAGTTGTACATAAAAGTTTGATAAATGAACCTTACATTTAGAAAATGTGTAAAGTTAGATCCTTTTTGTTCAGGTTTGTGTATTTAAACTCACTCTATGGTAATAGGGGTCCCATCCACCCAGGTCCAAACCCCCTCTGTAAGTGTGTCAGTGAGGCCAATCCAAGCATTTTGCCTCTCGCTCTTGTCCAGTAATTCGTTGACAAAAAGCTGTTAGAGTCACACAAACAAAAGACTGATGACATTACTGTTAGGGGGTGATCTTGATCTAAATTGGAATATATAATAAATGGACTGGTACAGACAATTTCTACACATTTCAGTTTTGTAAAAAAAAATTTGAATGACCCGTAGAGCCACGATGACAGTCATTTGTCTTTGGGATAGAGACTCATGTCTCCAACAAGATGGATTATAACAGCATTAATGATCCTTTAATTTTTCGTTTTAGTTCCATCACCTAATGGAGTTCTTGCAACACTGCAGTCATCTTTAACTGTACATGCAAACCTTAGCAACCCAGTACAAAGATGGAAAAAATTCTTGCAATCATTGGCAACGTTTAGCGATTCTAATTCTGCCTTTGTTTATTACCTGTTCCTCAGCGCTGTCTATGACAAGTAGATCTGCACCTTCAGCGATGCAGGCTTTTCTGCTTTCTGTCCAGTTTTTCTTCAAGGTTGAGACAAAATAACAGCTTATGTCAAACCTTCTCCAGTGGGCCTGACAAGGAATGCCTGCAAATTCATCACATGGAAAAAATATCCAAAAGATGAAGAATACCACAATGCAGATAATTTTAGTAAATTTAAGCTGTAACATAGGAAGCATACCGCTTAGTTTAGTGGTCATCCTTTTGACTTTCGATTGTAACTCTTCTCTAGCTGTAGTCAAACGACTGTAGTTGGTTTGTAACTGTTCCTTTTCCTTCCTCAAAGTATTATACCTGGTTTGAAGTTGCTCTTTGTCTTTCCGCAGGGTGTTATAGCTCTGGTCAGTTTGATGTTTGTTTCTATTCAGACTATTGTAGCTTCTTTGTAACTGGTCTTTCTCCCTCTTTAACACAGTGTAATTACCTTCTAGCTGGACTTCTTTTACTCTCAGTGCAGTAAAAAGAACGCTTAATGCATCCTTTTCTCTTTGGAGGTTATTGTAGCTGGTTTGTAGCTGCTCTGCAGTTGCTGTCAGATTATTGTGATTAGTCTGTAAGCCCTCAAGCTTCCTCTGCATGTCAGTGTAGTTTGTCTCGAATTGATCTCTCTCTTGTTTTAAGTTGATGAAATTTGTTTGTAACCGGTCCTTCTCATTTTTCACATTGCTGAAATTGGCCTGCAGCTCATTACGTTTAGTAATCAAATAACTGTAATAGTGCTGCAGCTCATCTTTGTCTTTTGTGAGGTTGCTCAGTATGATCTTTAACTGTCTAGTCTCCTTACTCAAAGCATCATAACTGATCTCCAGTCTGTCCCTCTCTGCAGTCAGGTTGTCATTATCATTTTGGAGTTTCTCCTTATTTTGAGTGAGTGTATTGTGATATGGCTGTGTTTGGTCTCCTGATGTAGGATGGATGATCTCATCTGTGAAATTTAAAAAAATAACAATAATATTTTGCCAGATTCAATTGATTATCATGAATTGGATGTAAAAGCAACAAAAAAGGGTGTTTATTTTTATTGAATAAAACTAAACAACTTACAGAATATAAATTGACTTATGTTACTGCACAACAGGACAGCACACAGTAATCCGAGGCTCACAGTGACACATCTGAGGATCTGGTTTCTTCTGCGAAAATTCACTGTTTTGTAAATAAGAAAACAGACATTTTTCAAATTAAACTACAAACAAATATATCATTAGACAAGTACGATTGGTTAAAAAAGTCTTTAGAGACTTTAACTTAAGTTTTAGAATTTTTGAATCCATTTAAAAATCTTTAAAACATGCTTTACCGTGTAATTGTGTATTACTGCGCATAGACCAGCATGATACTGGTCCTTTTATGAATTAAACAAGAAATTTATTATTCAATAAAGTGTTCGCAAACCAAAGGCGTCTTAAGCAATTAAATACACACACACAAAAGTGTGACGTTATTCAGTTTGAAATTTAAGCTGAAAAACAGGTTTGCATTTTATTTTGTTTACCCACTAGTTCTGTCTGCGGGTTTTGGGGGTGATACTGTACCTTGAGTGATGAGATTGCCGTCCATATATAATAAGGTGTCATCAATTTCCATTGTGTCCATTAATGTTCTGGATTTTTTTCTGTTCAGGTAAGACCTTTGTAGGTTTTCATTAAAAAGAGACAGTCCTTAAGTTTTCCAGAAGTGCTGATTTTACACTAAACTATACTAACATTCATAAACATTTTTTAATGTTCTAGAGAAAGTTCACATTCAATTATCTAAACATTAAATAGTTTTTAAACCTGCACTTACCTCGCACTTAGCTAAATACGCACAATAACAGTGAATTCAAAAAAGATTCTGCCACTGACCAATAAAAAATGAATGTTAACTCAGTATTATATATTGTAGTGAAAAAAGGATGTCCCACATCATCAAGCACTTGACATAAACTGATTGGCTGAAAACGAAACTATGCAAAATCCACTGGATGTCTACATTCCCACATTCAAAGTACTTCCCACTCAGACTTAATAGAAATAGCTAAGGTTAAATACCACGAAGTAGTGACTGGGATTTTTTCTCTTTGACTGACCTGATCGTTTTCAGACTTCCACCTTCTGTGATTTCTGTTCCCTTTTCCCACAGATTAAGTTCTCACAGAGGTTAAATAACTGAGAGTGTGAATGTGCTGAGAAACAAAAAATAAATAGAAATTTCCCATCAATATTATGTGACAGAGACATATATACAGGAACTCAGGGCAAAGTTGTACATATTTGTAAGTAAGAGATCAAAGAAAACTGTATGGTAAATTCTGGATTAGCTTGCTAGGTTTTTTAGCTAGCTTGCTAGTATTACAGTAATAAGTAGATATTTTATTATATATACATAGTATTTTCCCTCTCCTAGTTTAACATTAGTACAGTGGCTAATTACACCTAAAAGTTAAGTTGGTTTACAAATTTAAAAACACATTTTTTAAATCAAATTTGTGCTGGTTTAATTCTATCAAGCACAGAATTAAATCAAAAACCATTGTTTTAATAAATTCACATTTTAAAAATGTCATTTTAGTCAGAGAGCTTTGCATAAGTGTTAATTACCTTTACAGAAATTTTAAAAAATATTATTGTAATTACGTGTACTCAGCAGCAGTGGCAGCACAAACCTTACATTGGGTGGTCTATGTTCTGGACAAAGACCACTGATGCTGTGCCTGGAATCTGCTGCAGCCACTCTTCTAGTTTCAGGATTACAGCTCCTAATGCCTAATGGTCCTATTACCACTGGGACTACTTTGGACTTTACTTTCCACATCTGCACTATTTTCCATTACTCCTTCTTCCTGATGTTGCTTTCCACTTACATTACCACATCATCCTATCTTTGTAATGTATTTGTGGCTTGCGTGGGTGGAACTGCTGATTCTGGACTTGCAAGATTCTGTTTACTCACCTGCAAGATTTGCCTGCTTTGCTCCATGGAGATCACCGTTCACAGCCAGACTAAATTCTGCTTGTCTGTACGGTCAGCAGCCTGACTCTGGTAAACACCTCACTTAGGTTTCTTAGCTGCCCGTCACCACTACCTCCAAGCTAACCTAACAGCTTGTCAGAATCAGAAAAGTAGATGAATGAAAAACAGCCTTCAATACACCACTCAGCTGTTTAAAGGTGTCATAAACAATGTCTTAAGAGCTTTCCCTGCCTGTCTCATTCTCTATTTTTTATTCTTCTCTAAGGACCTCAAGGAGCACTCCATAAATGCACGGCAGATACTGTTAAGAATTTGGGGGAATTAACTGTTCGTGAAGGTTGAAAAATTTGAATTTCATTCTAAATCTGTCCCATTTTTGGCAACATTGGTGAGAATTGGCAGGTGAAGACAGATCATTCCATGATTCCACATCAGATGAAACATATTGGTTTTGGAATTCATTGGGCTGTCCAGGCTGTACCAGTGCCTGATCAACAAGGTAAGAAAGAAACCATCTTCTCCTCTTTAAGAAAACCTTCTGACCTCTGATTGGTTTTGTAACTTTTGGTTTGTCTTTTTTCATTTAAGCTTTATTTGCAATAGTAGAAACAGTACGAGTTCTGCTATCATCCACCCCCATCACCACCTCTGCATGTTTTTAAATGCATCAAACAGGACATGAATTTTAATGCAGTGAAAGTCTCTGTGGATGCAGTTGTGTAAGCTCTGAATTTGAAAGTGTATTCAATCACTTCTAGATCTGGTTCAACAAGATTTCCTGTTGCTGAATTTTTGGATCAATATTAAATAGATTTAGGCAGTTTAGTTTTACACAGGGTCTCTATCATCAAAATATAAGACTGATCCTTTGTGTCCTTATTTTCCACCTTCAAGCAGTTTTAGTTTAGGATGAATCATGGTTAATTTTATGTTAATAAAGAATTGAAAAAATAAAAAATCATATGGAACAGTAAAGACAAGTTCTGTAAATTACACTCTATTATATTTAGGAAATCTGTAAAGTTATAGCAGCGGTGATGACATCAGAACCTTTTTGTTTGTATTTGTACAAAATACAAACAAATACAAAATTTAAACTTTTTCAATTCAAATGGTGACTGGGTCCCATTGACCACTGTAAGACTGTCAGTGAGGCCAGTCCAGGCATTTTGCCTTTGACACCTATCCAGTAATCCACTGACAAACAGCTGTTAGAGTTGCACAAATAGAAGTCCAGTTGATATATTTACTAAGACTTATACAAAAATTGAAACATTTAACAGTGGGAGAAAGAGGGCACGGCAATTAGCCATTGTAGAAGGTCCTGAGTTTGGGACCAGGGCTCTTCGCTGTGGAGTTTGTATGTTCTCCCTGTTTTTGCATGTGTTCTCTGTGTACTCTGTCTTCCTTCTGCAATCAAGACACATGCAATTGTTGTGGTTAGAACTAGTGATTATAAATTGCCCATAGATTTGAATCTGAATGGTTGTCTGTCTCTCTGTTTTTAGTCTTGTGTCAGACTGGTGACCTGTTGAGGGTGTACCCTGCCTCTCTTGAGTCCAGCCATCAGGTCAGAAAGGGAACATGGCAGTTCAGGGGGGCAGCAAAGGGGAAACAACTCAACAGTAGAAACAGAGTTGGATCTGGTCAGATGGTCAATGGCAGAGATGGAGCAACTCTGGGTCCTGACCGGGTGGCCAGTGATCGAGACACAGCAGCTCCGATAAGAAATTGATGGCTGAGGAAATGAGACTCCCTCGGATGCAAAATGAACAGCCAGCGGCTCAGCCTCACAAGGGACTAGCTTGAAGGCCAGTGATGGATTCACTCATGAGGCCAAGGAGGCAGCCAGTGATGACTGACTGGGCACCTTAGGAAGCTTGAAGGAGAGTGATGGAAGTGAATGAGACCCTCTGGAGGTTGCAAAGGAAGCTGACTCTTGGTGGGCTAACGTTGGCTAAAGCCACAGGACACCTCTGGTTTGGCTAAAGGCTGGCATCGGGGCAGGTGACTGGACACTTCTGGCGGCTTGACAGGGGGATGACAACTGTAGTGGAGGCAGGACCCCCTCTGAAGACTGGCAACAAAGGAGATGGAACTCCTCTGGCTCAGGTCTCTCAGGTAGTGAGGGATTTATAGTGTCCGATTCTGCTGCTTCCTGCTATCCCAAATTCAGTGGTGTCAAAATAACTACAATAAACTTGAACTTAATGTTTGTATGTCTGATAACTTACACAATCTTTCTCCAAAAGATCAGAGCACAAAGAGAAAAAGATAAGGTTTCTTCAAAGGTAAGTGGAGAAATGCAATGCAGAAAAGACTGACGCATGCATGATCATCCACAGGTAAAGCATACTGTATATACACACGCAGGATAGGAGAGAGACGAGGCAGAGAGTACAGAGAAATTGCAGGTTCACATAGCGAGGACAATGACAACATCCATTGTTTATTTATAGTCACTGTGTGGTACTGGAGCCTTTTTTTGATGTAGGATCATAAATGCCAGCACAAAATTTAACTACAATCAATCTAAAGTGAGTGACTTCCTCCTACACCAACTTGAGCACTTTAGCAAAAAAAGATATTTGTATTAAAATGCATACTGGTAATTAAACAGGAACAAAACTTTTTCTTTGTGACTTTTTTGACTTTGTGTTCTTATAAAATTCACAAGCAATACATTGAAATTAGACTTAATTTGCATGCTTTTTGACCTCCTAGAGTTTTAAATTTCTTTCATTATCACAGCACATTTCTCATTCAAAGACCCTGATGCACAAGTTCTTACTGAACAAGTCCCAAGTTTAATCTGAGAACAATGTCAATGCTTCATTAAAAACAAGCCATTTGCAGGCGATCTGCATTCCTCAAAATTTTGTGCAGCTTCAGCCCAGATACAGCTCCAGTGGCAGCTGTTACAAACTGCTAGAAAAAAGATTTGGAGAAACGTGACCACAAAAATAAAAAGTGCCATTTGTCAAAATTTTTTAAAATGACAGAGACGGCTGTCAAGCTGACATGTGCCAGGAGTCCCAGCAGCTGATGTTTTGATTTTTCTCACTGCTGCATTAGACATTGTCGGGAAAAGACAGGCTGTCAGGCCAGCTGTGCTGTTTTTATGTATTGATCCCTCTCTCCATGTGGAACACTTAGCTCCGTCTCTTTACTGTTGTAGGAAACAGAGTGCTGAGTATTTCTCTGGCTCAGACTGAACTGATTGAACTCCTTCGCAGAAAAGCACTGAGTGCTGAATTAATACTTTGCTGAGGTTAACTTCAGGACTGTAGGTACATTCAGTAGATTGCGGATACATCACTTGCAATAACAAAATTATATGTATATTATAATCATCATATTCATATAATAACTTAAATGCTTCTTTTATAATTATCAGATGGATTATATGTAGTTTTTTCCTGTTTTATCCCATAAAAGAAGCTTTTATTTATTTTTTAAACTATTTTTCTTATTCCATTTATATTCTTTAAATTGTTTGGTAAGCTGCCCAAGTTTGCATTAATCTACACTGATTTTATTTGGAATTCTGATAACCAGAGGGATCTCATGAGGAAATGTCCCAATATGCCATCAGCTCCCACCCCACATGCAATCCCAAGACAAATCTGGGAAGTTAAAAGATGAATGAAGGCACAGGAAGGTTGGCAAAATTAGTTATGTTTAATCTTCCAGAATCTATTATTTCCAATCTCCAAAATCCAATTAAAACCGGCTGCTGGATTTGGTGGCTCTTTCCTTTGTGAACTCAACAATTAATTACCCTGAGCCTGATTCTGTCAGAAGTTTCTTCCTGTTAAGAAAAAGTTTTCACTCTCAACGAGAGTGATCAAATGATTTTCATAGGTAATGACTGTTGCTTTGAAGTGATGCTATATGAAGGCAGTTGTACTGCTCTGCATCTACTGCGGTCTGTAGATTCTGTAGTCAATAACAA